AAAATATTTCGGTTGCTCCTGTGTTTAACTTCTTACCTTTTCGCCATGTAAGATAGACCCACGTTTGCGATGATCTTGTGTCTTGGGGAATCGCATATTGCATACACAATTGTGGAATCGATTTATTCGAGTACGAAATCTGTTTGTGTGCTGTCTAATGAGCTAAGAACTTTGCTTATATTCCAGAGCGGGTATGCTATCAGAAGTTCGGCAGGAGCCCGATCTAACTAGCGAAGCTGATCTACGAGCAGCTGAAGTTGTGCGACCTGAAGATGTGTTAAGGCTCAACTCGATCACCCAAGGTAATCCTTTTTTGTCATTTTTTGTCTCCTGTAACGAGAAGAAGACCAGAAGGAACATGTTTGTTTGTATTTTCAATAAACTCTTATACTTGGACATATTACGTTTTGACTTCACAAGCTTTCTTTGTTAGGCAGCGGGAGAGACGTTGTTCTGTCCCTCGGATTCGCCAGTTCTGCAGCCTTATTTACTTCATGCAGTTGTGCATTTGATGTTACAACTTCGATGGCTGCAGTTAATCTTCTATTTGAAGAGTACTATCGTATCTAAGTCGAGAAGCTAGAATATTCTTCCTTTAAATTTTCTCAGCAGTGAGCTGCACGGTAATTGAGAGGGGTCGGCGCATTACTTTATGTTCAATTCGCATTCATAATCAAATAGAATACCCTTATTTTTTTCGTTTTGTGAAGTTTACTGTAGATTTCTTCAGTACTGAAGTATTCTTTCTTGAAGTAATGAAGTACAATTCGCGGCTTTTGTCAGCGCTAAGCTATGCTCTGCTTACTGCTTAAGCACTTTCAACTATAAATCGAATCGCGAAACCTAGACCAGTCAAAAGGGAAGTTAGAAGCATAAATGCTTCGATTATGAACTGTCGTGAACTCTTAGTAGCTTGTGAAGGTCTGTATAAAATCACCTGCAGTCAATCGACGATTCTGTAGCTCTTCGTGGGAGAGTTTGTATTAAAGAGCTAATATTCCTCAACGATTTTCTTTCAACTCTGTCGGGTTAGAAAGCGGCATCAAACACCATGTAGCTAAGGAAAAAGTGGTCTGTTCATCGCACCAAACTTTTTAGCCACCCTGTAGTGGCCAGATGATTAGAAAACTTCAGTAGAAGAGTTACGTTTTTGTTTTCGTTATGGTCAACATCGCATTCTGTGTATTGTTTCAGACTATCTCTGCAAGCCGTCGGCTAACATTTACGATATAGAATTCACTAGATTCAAGATTCGAGATCTGGATACGGATCAAGTCCTGTTCGAGATAGAAAAACCATCTGGTTCGTTGTTTCCCTCCCAGTATTTTATTTAATTATGCTAGAACTGGTTTATTCTGTCATCTTTGATAAGTACTTATTTGTCAAAGACACATCAGTCTGATTCAATTTTGGAGATTATTACTTGTGAAACTTCCCTTGTACTCATGGGAGGACCTTTTGTGCAGGGCTACTCTTCAGTTCTAGCTTTCAGATGACGCCTCAGAGCGTGAGGATCAGCCAGCTGAGGCGGCTCGCTATGTACGCTATAGGTTTTCCGAAGATTTCCTGCATTTGAAGAGGGTGTGTTTTCTGTATTCTTCATGTTGATCGGTAATAATTAGGTTACAGTGAAAGGATTGTGATGGATATGGTGCCATGAAATGAGAGATGCTTTTGAGATCTAACACTGTCACTGTACAAGTCTATTGTTTTTGCTTCATATAACCATAAAACCTCGCTAGAATTAGAACCTTGACTCACAACTCCCATGATTCAATTCTTAACTTTTTGCTGGTAATTCCCCTATACCTTGAGATGGAACACCGGCAGCATATCGTTAAGTGAGTTCCACGAATAATCAAGCGAATACACATCCTGGAACTCGAGCATACTCGGCAGTGATGCATTGACTATCTTTGTATCGATCTATACTTTCCAGGTTGGTGCGACTGTTGAATTTGTGGTAGGTAGTAAGCCCATCAACAAGTTTCGGATGGTAGAAAGACATTTTTTCAAGGTGAGTTAGTACATTTGTTTTACATTGTTCTTGCTTGTTTCTCAACCTTTTTCCTCAATAGGCAAACGTTACGAGAGTAATACTGTGATCTATGCCCACTGAAATTTTACTCAAATGGTTTTTTTATGCGGAACAACATTTACATCGTGACATCTGTTTATGACTTTTGTGCGGTTTTTTTAGAGTGGAAAAGCAGCAGTATTTTCGATCGTATTCCAATTATCACGAAGACAAAAAATGAATGCCAAGAGGCAAAAATTGATGAAAAATTTAATAATGTTCACAAAAGTAACACTGAAAATATCAAGAACACAGAAGTACTATGACAAGATTGATTCATCGATGGAGGGTTAAAGTGGAAAATGTGTTAAATGCTCCTGAATTCTCGTGATTAGATTGCTGTTATTTACTCGGCATAGTAGGAGTTGGACTTGTTCATCGTTAGATGTTCTTATGCTGGCTTCTAGTGATATCGTCGGCTGTGTTTCAGCTACTACATTCCGGGGAGATTTTTGTGGCGAGAATCGAAATTCACTGTTGAAAGTGAATATTGAATAGTGATCCTGTCCCTTGTTAGTGCATTTTTCCATTTGCAAATGGTGCAACTGATGTGCTGAATCTGTTCTTGCTGATGTTTGAAGAGTGTTAATATTACTCCTTGACCTGTATTTCTGTCCCTAAAAAACTGGATATTAAGCCGATTAGTCGTTAGAGGGATCGATGGCGACGTCACTTATTGTTAGATCTACCTCTTTCCCAGTCATGAGGACGCGTTTAAAATGCACAACATCAAAGAAGAGCGAAATTTAGTGGATGGATGTTTGCGACCTGTGTACCTGTGCGTAAGAAATTGATCTTGAACTTCATGGCTGCAAAAGGGCAATGGACTCACTCGATGCGCAAATGGATCGGCAATCTTATGATTGAGAATTAAAATTTGATGGGAACTCTACAATAAAATTGACGCAAAATCTTGTGACATTAATTCACTTACATCGTCACTTCTCCAGAATCTTCGTCGTCCTTGCGCCGTCACCACATTTTGAATTAGCACGTTGGCAACCATGCGTCCCGATGCCAGGGCGCACCTTTTAAGCTCGCTGGGGTATTTCTATTATTTATCAGGTGTTCCTATAATTTTTCATGTTTTCATGTATTAACTGAGCTCACAGCCTTCTTGAGAAACTTGAAGCATTGCGGTCCAGAATCATTTATTCTAGCTTGAGATATAAGAGAAAATAAAGGTTAATGTAAGGACAATATAAAAGCGTGGTCGCCAATGGGTTAATCTCCAAGTTACCGCCAAAACTACTACTCAGTTGGGTCAGGAATGTAAAATCAGGAACGCTTCTCTCAAAAACCATGCCGCAAATGAGGAGAGACGAACTTCGAGCAATCGTATTGCACGCAAAGTGCCGCAGTTGCAGTGCTCGTTCCGCTGCCTTCAACAATAACACTGCTTTCGAAGAACACCTCTTCAGGCGACCGGTGGTCGCCTAATTGCCGTGGAGACACGATGCTCGACGATCTCGCTTCGAACGATCAGTTGCTACTGATGCTGTCGATTATCAGCGGCCGACTTCTAATCCAGGCAGGTCTTTGCTAAGTGGATTCCGCACCATCTTACCGCAGCCAGTCGCTTCTTTTCGCCCCTAATCTGTATGAATTTCTGCGGTATCTGATGACGGGAGATGAGAGCTGGATTCTCCATAACAGCGGGATAGAGCCGACGAAATCACTAGAACCCAGCATAAGTATAACTAACGATAAACAAGTCCAACTGTTGCTATGCCGATTAAATAATCAGTATAATTACAGAAATAGTGACTCTAATTAAAAGAACTCGGAAGTATTCAACACATTTACCACCTTTACCTTTCATCGAAGAATCAATATTGGTCATAGTAGTACTTCTGTATTCTTGTTACTTTCAGTGTTAGTTTGGTAGATATTAATGTTTTTTTTCATCAACTTTTGCCTCTTAGCATCCGTTTTTTGTCTTCGTGATAGTTCGATTACGTTTGGAATTACTGCTGTTTTTCCTCTCTGAAAATCGCACAAAAGTTATAAATAGATGTCGTGGTGTAAATGTTGTTCCTAATAAAAAAACCCCTTTCAATTGAAGTTCCGGTGGGCATAGATTACAGTATTACTCAGGCAAACTAGATTGACAGAGTTTCGGATTTCCAGCTGTAAGAATTCTTTTTATCTTTTGGTAGATAGTCACATCCTGAGGTAATCACTGTTCGAGAAATAAGTCCTAAGTTGATCAAACAACTTTGAATTATCTTGCCAGTTTACAGTTCCGCATTGTTGAATCACACAGTTTTGTAGTGTGTTGGTATTTCCACAGTTACGCGCACATGTGTGAATGTGCTTAAAGAGAAGGAAAAGGGGTGTGTATTTGCAGGACCGCTTGCTGAAGAGTTTTGACTTCGAATTCGGATTTTGCATTCCCAATTCGAAGAACACCTGTGAACACATATACGAGTTTCCTCACCTGAGCCCTGAACTAGGTATGTTTGTTGCTACTAATAAAGCTTATATTACATGACATTTTTCGAGCAATGCAACACCATGTGAATATTTGAAAGCTTTTTACTTTTTGATGTTTGAAATATAGCCGACACAATCACAACCTTTGGTTTCATCATTATTTTGGGCACTGTACTGTTTCAACTCATTGCCGTAATCTTTTTAAGTCAGTATAGAAAAGCAGACTACCACTTTTGGGTGCAACAACGATGTCTTTAACCTTTAGAGCAAGGCAGACATTCGATGGAGAGTGAAGGGTCTCAAGAATAGTCAAACACAACGGGTCCCGCTTTTGAGATGGCCCACACATTCATTCGATACTTTATACTTATTCAAGAAAAAATCTACCAAAATGGTCGTTAGTGAGACCTAGGCGTGGCCAACCATTCATTTCTGAGATGAAATCAGATTAATGACGTGTTTGCGAGTAGCAGCGTATGAGATAGGAGGAAAACAAACTATTCCTTCATTAGTGCCTTGCAATTCCCTTTGTAATGAATGCTTGCTTTTCGCTGCCAACCACTATTCTTAACATAAATTTTGCTTTGAAGTGTTCTGTGAAGTGTCGAGTAGTTTAAAATCAAATTTAGTGAGAGAAATGGTGGAAAGCCCGTACGAAACTCGCTCGGATAGCTTTTATTTTGTGGATGACCGGCTTATTATGCACAACAAAGCTGATTATTCATACGACGGTTAGACAATGAAGGCAAAAGCGCTTTTGTGTCGAATCCCCAATTGAAAAGATTTATCTCTTGTAATAGAATGTAGTTTCTCGTCTATCCTTGTAGTTGCGAAATGATGTGAGGCTATATCAAGTGACGTGTTTCTCAACGATGTATCACTGTTTTAATTCATACATATTGAATTTCTAGTGGTTGTTTACCTAAGTTATGCAATGGTTCGGATTTCTTTGTAACTGTGATGACAGAAATTCACCAAAGTTGTGAATAATTGCTTCAGTGGAGCTTTAAATATTTCCTTTTCTGGAGGCCAGTAAATTCGCCAGTTCGTGTTTGTTGACATTGAATACTAATCAATGGATCTCTTCGCCTCTTCTTTTGATCCTTTCAGAGCTTTCTGTATTGCATACTAAAGCACCAATAAAGTATGTTATACAGACTCAGTTCGGCTCTAATAGAGAGCCATCTCCCCTCAAATGTCAGATAGTAGCTGAAAATATGGGCCAAATGCAATCAACCTCAATTCCGATCAACTGAAATCGAGGGGCGAGAGGCTTCAGTGGTCTGTCTTAGATCAGGTCTTAACATATGACCACTTATTAGCAGCGTTTCTCATCTTTTGCCGATGCTTTTCCAATTGATACAGATAATTTATGCTTCTGAGTTAACAAACCATTGAGAATCATATAAAAATGCCGTTATGCGAAGATGAAACATGTGATATGGCACGAATAGCGGAATCTTTTAAAATGCTTATATTTGAAAGATTTGAATGCATCATGACTAGAATGCGGTAAGGTCAAAAGATCCTCCCAATATATCCATTCAGAGCATATATTAATGCGATATGTACAAATATTGCTACATTAGGCTTTTAACTTTCCCGTCCCTTTCACCTAAACGAATCAATTTTGTTGCTGTGATCAGTCATTTAGGGCGTTTATTATCCTCGTTCTCGCTTTCTTCGATACATGCGTTGCAACGCTGAGGAGCGAGATCATTTGCTTGGCGGTGTACTCCTATAACATTATTTAACAGCACTTTGAGTTATGATAATACAAAAGAACGGTTTTAAGTGAGAATTATGATGCTGCGGCTATAGTAAATGGACCCACCGTATGCTTGCTAATCCATTCCTCGAGACCGTTCTCTGGTAAATAGAACGCTTTAATATATCCTTCAACAAATGCAGTATGCGGTACAGGGTGAAGATTGCAGATTTGCTCAAGCTGTAAAGACGATAAGATCTTGAAGGACATGAGTATGTGAAGGCCCTTCCATCAAATGCTGGTATATGAACGTGGGTGTTTTTACTCCAAAGTTCATCAACTCAACTTCTAGGAACTTCTATCATCTTCCCATTATCTTGATCAACTCCAGCTTGAAGGAGGCCGCGCACACGTTTATATGTTAGGTAGGCTGCGAGTGGATGCTATTAGGAAAGTCCTACAGAAACAGGTTCACTGCTTGCACCCACCATTAATTCTCCTTCAACGCTACCTCAGGATACTCCTTTAACGTTACCTCGGGATACTGTCATTATTAACACCTTTCTATAATTCCGCTTCACTTCACTTCAGCTAGTGGCCGCTCAAAAGGTCAACAAAAAGTACACTGCTGATTACTGTTGTAGCGAAAACGAAAAAAAAGAAGCTCAAATTGGTTTTATTTTGTTTCTTAACGAACCTTTAGTATCAAATGTTGGAAGTCAAGTTGCATCAATGCGCGGCCTTCTGTGGAGCACTTCCCACCTTCACAGTATCTATAACACGAACAACCGTGAGTATGTGAACTATCTTAAACAATCACAAGCTTTTCACACACCCTTGAACCAAGGCATTGAAAGCATAGTAGATAGTCCTATTCCATAACAATGCACGCCCTGCTTCATTCAAATGAATGGTTTCAGTCACGCGTTCCAGCCGCAAAGCGAACCCTTCAAAGTCCTAAAATGATTGATGACTGTTAGCGAGGTCATGACATCGATATGGTCAAGGAAAGGTTTACTTTAATCATAAAGTCTACGTAGTTGCTATGACGACTTTGCAATTCATTCACATCCCATTTCGTGTTTGAAACAGCGGCGATGAGAACAGGATATTTGAGCGCTCGACTGGCTACACAGTCGTAAACGAGACGACGAGTATCAGGAACGACTGATAATACCTTAATTCGTCATTAAAATATTTAGCAGTTGCTCAAATGAACCATAGAGAAAAAGTTGATATTTCTCATAAGCTAGAACTGCAGAAGTTGAAATGAAGCGAAATGCTATGGGAACAAATTCGGACAATGGCAATCTCATACTGAAGATTGATTGTCACGAATACCCTGAAAATTGCCTTACTTTGCTATAAAATTGGTCCAAATCTCTCATTATATTTTCACTAGTGAGGGGAAGCAGTGACTCCATCACAGGTCGAACAAGATCAAGTTGTCGAGCCACAAATTCCCTGTAACACTTTATGTTTTGCAGTATGTCGGTCGGCAGAAGTCACAGAAGTCACTGAGTTGAAAAACAGACACTGATTCCACGGCTATAATTCTTTCTACGATGCCATAAAGTTGATCAACGTGACTGAGGTTCAGCCCTGAGCAAAGTGCTGGCCGCACCAACCGCAAACCCTACAAACCGAGATTCCTTTTTCAGAAGACTAAGAAAACTAAAGAAATATTCTTCAATTGAGTAACCTATAATGAAGAAAATGTTGAGCAGTCATCAAAACGAGATTGAGCGCCTCTTTCCACTCAGAAAAAAGTTTGTGCAACCTTCACGAACAACTACTGACCTTTTCATGTCCTCCAGCTAACAACTGAGACTCATCCACTATAAGTCGGTCAGAAATATCCGAAAGCACGGCCTCAATACTACTGAGTGGTTCCATTGTTTCTGATCCGTCAGAACCAAAAAATAAGCAGATCTGAAATGGGGGAAGCGCTGCTTTTTATAAAAGTTGAAAGCGTGCTCAACTGGTTTAGCCTCATTGTAAAGTAGCGATTATATAATGTAGGTATTAGGTTGATGCATAATTATTGCGGATTTGTTCGCGGCTTCTTTTCTATCGATACAATTTGAATATTGAATTAATAATAGCACTAATTGGTAGGAATCAAGGAACTAGATTGAATAGGAATAATCTTACCGCTTACCTTAACAGAAATGCGTCTATTAAATAAAACCATCTTAATATTCTCCACATCATGCTCTACTATTTCGAGAAAGGATAGAAGGTGGCAGAGTCGTCTCGCGATCTCAACGAACTTTTCGGCGATGGAGCAGTCAGCCAAACCAAATAAGGAGTGGCATCTGCTCCTGAACCCTCTATATTCACCGACAGAAACTCCTATGAATTATAACGTCAACAGTGTACTGAAAGATTGGCTAGCGAACAGAGCTTACGGCGACTATAGACGATGACTTGATGGGCGATGTCTAGGCGTGGTTTGCCTCCAAGAATCGAAACTTCTACGTCTTGGAATGCCTAGCAAATGAGAAGCAGTGGTTGACGTAGGGGGTGGATACGTTCCGGAGTAATTATTTGAAAATATCTTTGTTAAATATTTTTATCGTTTTTTTNTTTTTTTCAAATAAAATTTTGAAAAAAAGAACCGCAATAATCATGAATCAACCTAATGTATGCAGTGACGTAGTCGCTCTCTCAGGCGTTGTTTGATCAAGTCCCAGAAAATTCTTTGTATACTCTAATAGATTTAAATAAAAGTGCATGAGGTAATGCATGACGTACTGAATAGAAGAAATATTCATACTGCTGTGTTAAGGCAGGAACCGAGTACTCTGCTATGGATGGCAAGAGGAACGTCATGCGGATATATCGGCCTGAACCATAAGTCAACGAATAGACGTATTAATTGATGTATAGAAACATTGTAAGCTCACAAATTCAAAAAGTCTTACCAAAAAAGCGTAGCAAGTTGAGCGCGGTATTGCAAATATTCGGTGTTTGATCAGGTCTGAAAGGCACTAAATGGCATAACTGTACAATATAAATGAATCTCTAAGCTCCTCCAAAGTTATTCGCTTTTCCCTACCCTTCATCATTCTCTTCAGTTTCGTTTCTCTCATCGCGAGTTTTATCGAGTTCTCCCACTGATCTTGGCATGTGAGTAGGCTGCTTTTGCGACTGAATGACTGCCAAGTTGACTTCCGCAATAATATCCCACCGCAAGTTTACATAATAGAAAATCCTCACCTCTATTTCCGCACTGCCGAAGGGATTGACAAAATCAGCAGGCATTATCGAGAATCCACGCTGCTCTTCAGTAACGTTATTCGCCGTCACGCCAATGTTGCCCTTTCGTTTACGAGATTCTTCCAAAAAGGTGAAGTCCTGAAAGAACATGGGGTTCCTCATTTAGCGTCCCTACTGTCGGTTCCGAAGGGAACAGAATAGAATGAAAATGGTGTCTGAAATGTGAAATGTGAACATAGAAGCGAAATAGCTTACGTGCAAATCGAAAATAGTGAACTGGTGAGGTACTGGACATAATGTAAAGCATTCATTCTCCAAGAACATTCGTAACTCTTCCATTCGTTCCGAATGATATCTTATGAAGTACATGACGACTTGTTTCTCTAAGGACACCGTTAGTTCATCGGAAGCGTAACCAAAAAAAGAGCGGCCAAAGTGACGAAATCTAAATTTTCGGTGAAGATTAGCTGCACAGAAAACAGGAAGGATGTAGACTTACTTATTTGCCATATCAACAATATCTAACAGCTGATCAAACTTCAATGTTGAGAACTCTTGGCTGCACAAGAATGAATGCATTCGGGACAGCGCAACACGGAAAACAACATGCATACTCGTCATCATCTGGTTGACCATTATACCGATATTGGCTTAATTGTATCAAATAGGTTGAGAAGCGGTGCTGTTGGAAAAATCTCTCAGAAAACTCTTGATCCACTTCTATAGTTCTCGTGTATGACCATAACAGAGGCTGGGTAATACTAAGCTCAAATGAATCGGAGGAATATTTTTAGGAATCAGCTTTGAACTGAAGAATCGCTCGAGCGAGAAAGAGAAGCAAAAAGTGTATGTGCTACTCACGATCGTCCGCTTTGCTCATTCGCTTCCGCTCATCGTCATCAGTATGAAAGCGAATAATCGTGTGATAGATGGTTAGAATTTTACACATAACGTAACCGAGTTCCCGGACTGTCGACACAATCTCCTCACTGCTGACACGCTGAATGATCAAAACAATTTAAAGATGGTACACGTCACTCTACATCAATGTATTTCGGACAACCTGACACAAATCCTCATAGGAAATCTCAGCTGTGTCAGTTAGCGTTTGGCACATCTTACATCTTTCCTCAACAACTTTCTGCGAAGATTTCTTTATAGTTGAAACGAAATGGGAAATGAGCTTCTTGGATGCAGGCTAAAATAATCAGCAGATAGTAAAACAATAAGAAGTACATTCACAAAAAACCGGCAAAATAACGTGAAACGAATCACCTCAACTTTATTTAACATTGAGTAAGCTGAATAGACTGAAGCGTATCGATCATGATCGAAAACTATAGTGAACGAAGCTAAAGCAGAGTCAAGAGCGGTCTCAATCAGGTTCGTGGAACCAACCAATTTCGTCATTAAATCACTGGAATAACATTTCCGGACAACTGGTTAATTGAAAATAAAAAGAAAAACCCAGTTTCCTTCTTCATAAAGTACGAAGGAATATCGACGTACCTCACACAGCTGAAATGTCGATAAGTATTCGCTGCTTCTTTAGCTTCCAAGCACACTCTTATAGCTACTGGGAAATTGCCATCCTGAAATCGCACTTCTCACATACTATAAAGAAAGATTTTGCTGCTATTCACATACCTCTATACAGTCTCTAAGATGAAACTCGGTCTCATATAAAGTCTTGATGATTCGCAAGGTTGAGTGTAAAGTCTTCAACATGCGCTTCTTCTTCTCATTCGCAAGAATTGAGAGTGCGGTTCGGCTCTGTGCTAGCGCACCAGCGAGAGCTCTACATATAACAACGATGTGAACATGATGAACTAACGGCAGAGCGGATATTTTCCACTGCACCCTTTTTAAAGATAAAACACTCCTACCTTCTGATCATTACGATTTTGCACACTAACTCGTTCAGGCTGTCTCTAATGGAATCCATGTCTTCTATTTGAGCATTGTAAGAGGGTGACTGCAAGGAATCAAAATTTTTTAGTATGAATATATATCNCAACGCGTGTGATTGTGTATGTCGGAAAATTCATCTATCGCTATCCTGGACTTAAAGCGGTCAAATTTTGAAGGCCGCAGAATGGGGTGGTAGGAGACGGGAGCCATAGTGCGTGTGACGCCTTTTGCACTAACAAAAAAACTTTGGCGTTTCCGTCCAACCTTTGAGATGTGAAGGTAATGTAGATATTTGGTGACAGAATCCAATATCAACTAACGGCTGATAACGATAAATGATTACAGGAGTCAGAAGGTCATGGTCGATCATGGAATAGTAAAAGAGGACTTCGGTTCTATTTATTGGTTCAGATTACAGGAGTGTTCTTCATAGGCTATATGAGTGCGACGGAATCGAAGATAGTAGGTATTAATTGACAGCATTTTCTGAGAGCTAATGAAAGTGTAGAAATGTAAACGTAACTCCTTGTTTCACTATTAACAGCGGAGGGCTGCAGTAGTTCCGTATGTATTGTACAACCACATTTCTACCACCGGACAAAACCCATTCAGTTTCTGATCCCTTTCGCATTCGCCATGTAGTTTTAATTAACTGTTGTGTTTTATGCGATAAGAGTGATTTGTAGTGTAGGTTGGCAAAAGATGGGAACAGCAGTGATAGTGACAACAGGAAAGACGGTTGAGGTCAGTACCATATGAGTTGAATGAAATGCGGTTCATCACTTGCTATTATCCTCTATATAATGTAACCACTGCGCATCTAGGTTAGCGTGTCCTTTATAGGTCGCGATCTTTTTTGTCCCACGATCGGCTGCGACAAAGTTAGGCGCGACATCATCAACAATCTGGGGATTTCGACCAAAGATTCGGACCCTGGGAGGGACTATGGGCTTTTGATAATGGCATTATCATCAATTATTGATAATGGCAAGTACCTCAGTTCAAGGCTTTGGTTGATTAATCAGATTGCTCAGTAGAGGAAGAATGCTTTTACCAATAGATCCAGTGAAAGGAAGAGAATCCCTAATTCGATTAATATCACGAGCAAGAACAGCAGAAAGAGAACTCTAATCATAAGCGAGAATATCACCACATGTTGACAACCACTTGCACCGATCTATTTAAACTAATATCCTCAAGGCAGTTCCAAATTTGTAGAGCTAGTTCATCTCTAGGCTATCCCCTTCAAATATTTTGTGATCACAAATGCTTAATTGCTCAGAGGATTAGCCATTGCTCACTACAACTACTTAGAGCGATCCGACTAGTATAAAATAAAGAGGTTATATACAAGAACTATATGACCTTATCCATAATCAGAGTGGAAATCTTCTTCGACACAACTTGCAACTGGGATTTCAGCCTCATTCGCTCACGATCAATATCTTCAAGACGTAATTCAAGGCCAAAGAGTTTCTAGAAATACACAGTAGTAGTTCAAGTATTGAGGAGAAGAACGATATACATCGACAATCATGCACTAACCCTCATCTCGTAGTCGATGGCATTGAAATCGTCTTCTATAAAGTATGATGCATCAATACTGTCAATAATGTCATCTTCGCTTTCAGGGGCTGGAGCAGCACATGGTCGAACCTATATTTGCAATGGCAGCAAGGGTTGTATAGTCAAGTCAGCTTCTTTAACAATAACGTTTCTCACAGAAAAAAGCACGTTGCATAGAAATACGATGCCGAGAAAGGTGAAAAATAAACTCAAAATCAGAAAATTAGGAATTCTATAGGAATTCATAGCCCAGAGCTTGCAAAAAATCTTCTCAAACACTAATGTTGACGAACCACTATTGAGAGAACTCAATTAAAACCATTTAGATGAAGTTGACTTTTAGTAGTTCATATTTTAGTAGTGAAAAACTGACCTTCATGACACCTAGGACATTGGTTTCATAATCTTGAGTGAGCGATCCGTCATGGGGAGATACCACATAATCTGACATGTCATCCATCTATAAGACTATTTTGAAAATGGAAACAGCAGATTCGCATTTTCCACAAAATGAAAATGTGATTGCAAGCAAGTAGAAATGTATTTAATTTTATGCTTATCGCAATGTACTGTAAACACTCACAGTTACATCTTCCGAAAACGAGTCGCCAAGAGTTTTCAAAGTTTTTGTGAGAGAAGTACGTAACTTGTCCATGTTCCCTAAGCATTTAAGGAAGTTTGAAAGTGAGGTCAATCACGTCATTGAGGAGCAGTTCGAGTTCTTTTGACCAAAAGAGGATGGATTCACCAATTTTGAGCTGATAATGAACTACCTGCAAACGGTGTAAATTTTATTTTAGTTGACGCAAAATACAAGTATGTTAGATACCGGATGTTTCTGAAAGGTTACTGAAAAGGACTTTTTAAAATCATCAGTACATACTAAAAAAAACTTGACGCCTGAAATAACAGCCCTCAGACAACACGCTGAGCTTCACGGCTGTTCTATGTCAGCTTTGCACAAGGCTAAGGGAACCTTGCAAGAAATGCTGATCAGTCAACATGAGGTAGCTGTGATGAATGATGAAGCGCTCTGAGAAGTCCCTTACTCTGCCACCAACTGCGCTCGGCTCGATGATTCAAGCGAGCCTCATGACCGTTGACAACTAGTTCCTAGCCTGCAAAAAAAGGATACACATTAACCAACTTGGAGGTAGCAGAAATAAATGTCAGGGAAACTGCTACAGTTCAGGTTAAAAAAGAAGCAGGAGACTTCAGAAAGGCGCCGTTCATCTACAGTCCATCGCCTCTGAGTGAAAATGAACTTACAAGGAAAAATGTGACTTGAGCATTGGTAGGCGATCACGATTCGCTATGCCGAAGTAGGAATATCGGAGCCCAGCACTAATACGGATGTTTCCTCGTTTGTGCAGAACTCGGGTGTCCAGTATAATCCTCAGATGTTAGTTTATGTTTAGCACCTCATTCTTCATCCATTTCTTCCATCTGGAAGCTCTTATAGATGAAATTAGAAAACGGTCTTTCATAATGAATTCGGATTTTTTTCTAACGCAGATCAGCAAACACGAGCACTTCAGATATGATCTACCCTTTGAAAAACTGTTGCTATGCTTGTAAGAAATTTTGGTGAAAATTCAGTTGGGGGGGG